TCGGTGCAGAGAACTGCACTATTTTTGGCCTTCACATACAGATACCTCTTCTGCTCCTTAAACAGCTGCTAGCCAGGATCAAACACAAACTGAGCAGAACATCTCTCTTCCTCCCAAGGAAACAGCAGTATGTATTGCTTAAATAAGAGCACAGAATATTCCTCCATAGGTTAAAATCCACTGCATTCTTCAAGATCAGTTTTAATTTCACTTCTTCATACCAAGAGTCACAGTTTAAGGCCTTCAACAAACACCACAGTTATCATCTTTTTCATCCATCCCCCCTTATGGGGACACAAACTCAACTCCTCCAACATCTGCACCAAGCACATCTCTTTTTAGTGAAAGATAAAGCACAAGACTTCACATTTGAATCCTTGAACAGGTGAACAACTGCAAGGCTGGGAATGTTCACAAGACTACAAGCCATCACAACAGCATCTGAGTTGGGTTTTTTCTTTTTTCTTTCTTTTAAAACCATGTTCAAGTTACACAGGTTGAATAATGGGTGCTTTTCCTAAATAGTGGTCCAATGCCACTTAGACATCAGGTGCAGCCAACAATGCACCTGCTGAGGGGTCATACTAGGCATTCCCAGGGACTGCTTCACTAGTGCTAAAGCAGAACAGACGCAGGTACCTCAGATCTCTGTGCAGAAGGTGCCACCCACACAGATCTCTGCATGCTTGACACTTTCACAGGCTGAGCATAAACTGTAAAAATAATATATATAAACTGTACATATAAATTGTGGAAGTTTGGACTGTGCATTGCATATCAGAATAAATCCCCGTAAGTTTCCTTCTCTGTGATGCAGCCAAGGGAGCTCAACACAGCACCCCAGATCCAATGCTATAAGGTGTTGCCTTAGATGAAATGGAGAGCTCATGCTCCCAGCTTTCTTCCAGCCTTTCTTGTGACCTGCCTGAATAGATAACATGGCTTCTGGACAAGCAAACAGCTGTAAGCCAAATACTTTTCAGAAGTAAAGAAATTAAAATTTGCACAGAGGGAGAGAAAGTGTTTACTTGGCGTGGAGAAGTTTTAGAGGAGTATCCCTTTGGGCACTGAAAGTTGCATTCCTCTCTGAGGGATGCTTGTTCAAATACTCAGGAAAGATCCCTGTACACCTGAGAATAACTGATGACTGACTGCTCCTTTCCTCAATCTCTGCTGTATTGGTCCTTCAACTACAGAGCACAGGGATAGGTCACTGATTTCACATGCAGACTTCCCTGCTACATGTGAAGGTGCAGCTCTGACAGTGGATACCACTTCTGCACTCTTAAACGAAACAGCAAGGATGGACACTGCAATTCCTTCACAGAACAACTTCATCATGGTAAGATGCTCTGTCAGTTCACTCCTGAGTCTTTGCCTTACACCAGAAACCTAAGAACCAGAACAGCTCTTTAAGTATGCTCCTTAGAAGGGGGAAATAGAAAAAAGGAAGCTAAACAAAGAAATATGCCATATACAAAGATACTGTACAAAAGTTGGTGTCTCGTGTAAAAAAAAAGCAAACTCTGAATATTCTGACACAAAACCCCTTGGTTTCTTCTTGCCAAAGAAGAAAAATTATGAATCAGGCTCCTTAAGACAAAGGTCTACTTGGGAAGGCTGGTTTCTAACAAGCAGATCTCTCACTCTTCACTGATAATTGGTAATAGGAGCTTCTCCATTTTCCTAAGAGTAAAAGAATATGGCCATCAGCCTTGAAAACTATAAAGGTTCTAAACTCTTCATACTGCTCAGCAGAGGCAAAATCTTGCTTGCCAAGTTCTTCAGAGACATACTGGGAAGGTAACTATTGTATATTTCTGAGTAAGTTTAGCCAGTACATTACAGGGCAAAATCCTGTGTTCAAAAGCAGCCTTCATTTTCTTTTGAATTTTGCATCTCTTAAGAAATACCAGGAGTCATTTTCAATTAGAATGTCTCAGAAAAGTTGGCAGAGACTAAAGTCTATTTCTTAAGCAGCTTTTCTTCCTTTGTGATCTCTCAAGATAGGTTCTTTCATTCACTTCTACTGCCAGGACAAAAAGAAGACAGATTTCTGGTCAGTACATAAATATAAAAAGCAGCAATCCATCCTACACATACCATGGCTTGCTGCAGGTTTGCTTGGTAGAAACCAGCAGTTGTCTGCTCCTTCAGTTGTGGGAGTGGAATTTTTTAGTAGATGTGAAAAGATCTTCCTGGCTTTCATATTCAGTGAATTACTGACTTAAAAGTGTGAAATCTTGGACTTGTAACTCCTTGCTTTTTCAGAAGCAGTTTCAAAAGGTACCAGATTTTGGCAAAACAGGTTCCCTTGAACAAAAGGTATTCGGGGGCTGGGGCAGGGGGAAAATTGCTTCCAAAAAAGGATATGGCAGGGCTGAAATGTCTTTGCAACCCAGTATTCAAAGTCATAAGAAGACAGGATGACACAGCAGAAAGATACTAAATGGTACAAGTTTAGCATGAAAACAATTTCCTCAACAAGTGCAACTGGAATCCCAGGGGAAACCAGTAATTCTAAAACACTGACAATTTCAGAAGTGTTACACACAGGAGTTACCTGAATAACTGAGATTTATCTGGATATTTTGCTCCCTTCTAAAGAAAGACAAGCTGCCCTAAAATGGAATCCCAGAGACAAGATTAAGACTTGAGACTTGAAGAAGCTACGATAACTCACTTCTAACTTAATACATCACAGTTTTCAAATTGACTATACAGCAGACAGAAGTATGCTGTACATCTGGGAATGCTCAAAACAGCTCCCTGCTGACTCATGCCTATGTCTTTCAGGTGGTTGGTTTTGTCCCATCTTAAATCGTTTCATGATCAAGTCAACAAGACCAGGGCTGGAGTCAGGGCTTCCTGCACCAAACTCCTGTTGTTCCCTACTACAACCCAGAAAGAAAAAACCCAAAAGCAGTAATTCTTTGAGGTAAAGCTTCTTGAAGTCCAAAAGCAGGTCATCTGGTGGAATGTTAAGAGCTAGTCCTGGGAAGAACACAGGCGAGAAAGTAAGCTTGTGTAATTGCAATTTACTCACTCCATGGCTGAACAAATGAGACTACTCCATAGTATCAAAGTTGCACCTGCTCGTTACTGACTCCCCTCCCTGGACTGTGCACACACCTTGCTGCAGAAGGAGAGCAAATCAACATTAGTGGACTATGACAGAAACAGTTATCTGGACCTATTTTGAAATTTTAGTTCTCATCATATTTAATTCCTGAAATGCAATGGTGAAAAGCTGAAACAGTTTTTTGAAGTTCTGTTACATTAAAACAGAACAAGACCTATAAATGCATTAAGACATTCTATAAAATAGAAGCCAACTCTGCTCGAAATCACCAGATGTATTTGCTTGGCCCTAGTGAACAAAGTGCTCCTTCCCAGTTAGTTGCAGAGTGAGCATAAAATTACTTTAAAAATTGGTGTTTTTTCAGCACCAGGCAAATACCTTTGAGCTGCACTCTGCTTTAGCATTATGATAAAGAATCTGTTTAAAAAACTCCAGTCCCCTGCAAAAACCATCATGCTAACACAAACTGAAGAGCTGGCCCAACCCAACTGACAGAATGTTAAAGCTTTACTATCTTTGCAGAAACCCCACGTGTCCAAGGTATAAAATACAGAAAAAAACCCTATACTGCAACTGATTCCTGTTATAAAATTTTTGGTACCTCTTCAATGATCCATTCTGTTCATTGGAAGAACTCAATATGCAATGACTAAGTAGCAGACCACTGCAAAGGTGTGCTGCAGCAACTGTGTCTATTTAAACTTTCATCAGCTAGCATGGAACTTGCAAATAAAGATTCTAAACAGCAACTGGCTCAGTGAACATTAATTTGATCTCAGTAACAGAAATGCAAAAGAATAAAGATCTCAAACTAAATGCAGTTGTGAGGATGTTGTCTCTTCAGAGACAATCTACACAGAATTGCAGCTGCCAACACTTTCTTGATGAGCTGAAATGTAAACATATGTTACAAGATCCAAGCTGTCTAAACTCTTTGCATAAAAGCCTTGTGCAACAACGCCAATGAATACGACCTCATCTATGAAGAAAAACCCCAGAGAGTTAGTGTGGCAAAGGGTAGCAATCAGTCTTTCACAGACCTAGATCAAATGAGTGGTTCTCCTAATACAAGAAGTGCAAGGCTTGCTGTGATTTACTTAATCCCAAGAGCACCCTTCCAGAACTTAACAGAGACTTGTTCATGGTTTTATGGTAATTCTAAAGCAAGCTAAATTAACCTGAAGATGAGAAGGCAACACACACTAAAACTACCTATTTATCTTTTTTTTTTTTCTCCAAACAGAAGTATGTCAGAAGGAAGATAAAACACAGCCCATTAAAAAAAAAATAATAAAAAAAAAATTAAGAAAACTCCTCTCCATCACTTACCCTCTATCAAGAGGACACTTAGTGTCAAAACCAGGAGACAATCTGGTATCTATGCTGGGGCGGAAAAGAGGCTAGAGTCCCGGAAGTCCTTCTACCCGTGGCTTACAAAACTAAATAATGTTTGGGAACAATGGTCCTGTCAGTGACATGTCAACAACACATTTATTTTAAAAAGGCTAAATTCAAGTTTTAAACACAAGTAACTGCAAAAGAAAAAAAAAAAAACAACAAAACAAAACATAACAAAACTTTGGTTGATTATCCATCTTGTTAATTATGTCAAAGTTAGCAATCAACGATTTCTCTAGAAAGTATTCAAGAGCAGACAGGTCAGATCACTCCTTATTGGGAAGTCAGACACCTAGCAGTGACACTGGAAGTGCTGCTATGCCAGCATCACACATGCTCACAACATCTCAGCCAGCATTTGGGAGGCTAATGGTGCATGCAAAGTCTGAGGTGATCAGCAACAACCAGCTTGGGTTGCTGTGAACTCATTGAGACAAATAAATAAAAAAAGCAACAAGAAAAAAATAAAGCCAAGCACCTCTAGGGCCAGACCCCAAAGACACAGGAATCAAAGCTTTTTTTCTCCTCTCCCTATTTACAAAATGCCTTTTAGAGCTGATGCGGCCATTTCAGTATTGTGAGGAAATGTCTTGTATGCTAAGCAGTCATAACTGTTGTTCCTAGATGCTGTGGCCTGTGTGCCACGCAATGTCCCACGGGGTGTGTCCCTCCCACTGAGGCACATGAAGGGAGTTCAGTCTTCTGTTTCTTCATATGTTGTTTCATCAAATGGCCGGTCCAAAAGAGGTATGAAACGGTGACGAGAATATTTCAGTTGTAAAAGGTCCCCAACTTCATTGACTTCTTTTAAAGCCTGAGAAGAAGAACACAGTAGGTCAGCAGAGACAAATGAGAGCACATTATCAGCACATCTTCCTTTTTGCAAGCCTGCAGACTGCTCTGGCAGCCATTTTACTTAGGTGAGAGTTGACTGTGCTAGATTCAGAGGTGCATAGGATTTGGTTTTGATTTTAAGATGCAGAAGTCTTGAGACCAAGCGAGCAGCAGATTCCAAGGCAGATGCATAATATCCAGCAATACTAATTCAAATTCCAGTCATCCCCCCAAAATCCATGAATATTCATAGATGGACAAACCGAGAACAATGTTCCTCCTTCCTTCCTGGAGGTAATCAAGCTGAAGCAGGAAAAAAATGTACATGGAGATTTGACTCCTCTTTATGTATCATTCAGTTTGAAAACAACATGTGTTATTTATTATACCATCTCTGACCTAGTGTATTTTTCAAATTGTCAGACAGTGAAAGGCAAACTGCAATATAATGCTAACAAGATCTGTTGATGCATCTGTTGTATCTACATTTGGTTAATTGTCCATATACAACTAGAGATGCAAACTCTGTATTGTAAACAACATTGCAAGGGAAGTTTCTGCCAGACAATCCAAGGAGTAATGAAAAAAGTTATTCTGAGTAGGATTCCAAGCATTTTCTTCCTAGAAAGCAAGTCCCACTGACTGAGGTTGCCACAAATGCAAAATTCAGGCAACTGATGGCCCAGAACACTGCTAGTAAGCTAACAAAACCTATCACGGTTTTGACCTGAATGCAAAAGTTTAGCAGAGATAAAACACCTGCTAGGGTTAGAAAGGAGGAAAGTCCTGACTCAGTTAACCATACTTTCTTTATGTTGCAATCTCTGGTTCACAATAGGGTTTGTTAAAAGCCAAACTTCATTTCTTTACAAAACACTCCTGGAGCAAGGTACAAAATAAATCAGTTGCTGCAAACACTGCAACAGTACATGATGCTAATTATCTTATGTAGGTGAGTAATCAAGAAATTAGCTCAGAAGATGACTTCTAAAGTCCACTGTGATTTTTTTTACTCAAAAGTTGTTATTCTGCACTCCCTTCAATTGTAAATTTATTCAGATAGGTACATTCAGCATTCCTCCAGAACACCACTAGTTCAACATTAATGCTCTGGTTTTAGCATGTTCTGGGTCAAATGCCTGTCTCTTGAGAATAGTTGGCAGATGGGGGTTAATATCCCTACATGCTTTTCCTTCCTGGATGGATACTTCAAGTATTTGTTTCTTTAAACAATGGCCTCTCATGCTTGTTACATGTGGCAGAAGAACCTCTCCACTTTAAAATCTGGGAGAACGACAAACCCAGAAGTTCGACCTTGGTAAAAACAAAACAAAACAAAACAAAAAGTGTGGGCACAGTTTGCCAGAGCTTAAAGTAAAGATCCATATGGAAACAATTTCAGGTTGAATTTCTGTTGAAAGAGTCTGTTAACTGTTATTCTTGAATGCAGATTTAGGATTTTATTAATTTAAAACAAAAAGAGCCATGTGACCAGCAAAGACTACAAAGGAAATGGCATTGGTGAACTCTGACTTCAGGAGAGTGTAATATATTTTTCATCACTGAAAAGAAAGCACCAGCCCACAGGGATGCAGGTTATGAGGGACTTCACTCTGATCCTGAGCCAAATATTTTCAGGCAAGGAAGTTTTATTTACATAAAACAGTTAAAATGGTAACTGAGAACTGTTCCCCATCATGTGGGTTTATTTAATAAGAACAAGGAAGCATTACAAACATCAGCATTTACAAGACAAGCTTCTCTTCCCCATGCTCCAAACCCAGATAAATTTTCTTTACCAAAAAATGCTGTAACAGCCCCAGTTAGCATCCATGCACACATGGACAGGCAAGCAGGTTCTCTCTGTCACTGACTTGAAGAAGCTCTCTACTAGCTGTCCCCAAGTCTATTAATTTCAGTTATTTTTCTTCCTGGATATTGTTGCCACAATTCAGCAGAGGGATCAGATCAGAAGGCTGCCTTAATGATTAGCTGCCTGAAATTAATCCCTTTCCACCGCATCACAAGAAAACACAACAAAAACTCACTGACAAAGACTTGGTCCTTATTAAATGCTCTTGCCAATGTCTGGGGTTCAGAGAGTGCAGATGTTTTGAACCTTAAAGTGGATTACACTAACTTGGAAAAAAGCTTCCACATGCTAAGCTAAATCAAGATTTCTTAATTCCCTTCAAAATTCACACCTCATTTTGTCCTGGATTAATTTTCTTAGGCAGACAAGCTCCGATATATTAAACAAGGATTTCCTCAATTTAGAGCATTTAGCAATTACAGGGGTACTCTAAAATTAGTCTGTAGAGTTAAATGCACAAAACTTGAAACATTTTCTGAAAAGCAGAAAGACTTGTAAGTGAATTGACATGAAAAGAGCTTTTTTAAAGCAGAGAAATAGAAGCTACAGATTGGTTTTGGAAGAGAGCAAGTATTATACTCCTACAGACCCTGCAAAAGCAGCTTTTTATGGTAAAGACACTCAGTAGTCACTGAGAGAGAAGACCAAGAATCTAACCAACAGCAAGGCTGCATAATTGCTCAGGTAATGCCAGCACACCAAGTTTGCATAGCTTCAGTTGTAGCTCAGTTTGCAGCAAAGATTTCAGAGATTCCGATTTTTCGTTCTTTTCCTTCCTCCCACCTCCTTCCCTTTCATGCTCCCATGTCTACCCAGCCACAAGTTATGCTCCCTCATTTGTATCAATGCACTGAGTTCTATTACCATGCTCTGAGCCAAGTCTGTGGTAGTATTCATTTTATAGAGGGCAAAAGGAAGGGAAGGAGGCCTTCTCCAAACATACTGTTTTAGAATTTTTATTTGGAACAGAAGCAACCAAATTGGGATAATTACAGGAAGATTAGCAGGACAAGGAGCTGTGAAGAAACTCCTTAAGCAGTTGGAGTGTCAGGACAGAATCTCTCAGGTCTTACAAAGCAGAAGCAACTCAGAAGCAGTAAGTATAGCATCACAGATACACGGCAGGTTGTTTAACTGATAATGACCCTAAATATACATTACCTAACTGCACCGTCCACTGCCTATTTTTCCTAACAAAGCTGAAATTAAATAAAAGGCATTTTCAGCTCTTGATTTGAAAGTTTAGTGGCAGTCAAGTGTGAAAAATTTGAATCTGTATTTTTTTTTTGCAGTCTTCTCAACCTCAGACCACAGTTCCTGCCTTTTTTGAAGTCAGTGGTGACATTTGCTTTCTTCCAATCCCCAGGACTCTTCCCCCAATCACCATGACCTTCCAAAGACAATAATCAGGAGTGGCCTTGCAGTGACAGCCAGCTGCTTCAACACTTGGGAGTGCAACCTATCAGGTCCGACAGACTTGAATGTTGTTTGTTTGAATGTTCCCTTACTTGATTCTCCTTCACACCAAGGGTAGGTCTTCATTGCTCCATTTTTTTTTTCACTAAACTCATGGGCCCAGGATTCCTGAAGGCAAGTCTCCTCAGTAAAGTCTGAGGCAATAAAATCAGGGAGTACCTGGCCTCTTGTATGTCATTTGTCACCTGATCCCTATGCCATTCAGCAGCAGCCCTACATTTTCTCTACTCTTCCCATTGCTGCTAACACTCTCATAAAAGCCCTCCTGCTACATTTTGTGTCCTTTGACAGACTCAGCTCCAGGTGGGCTTTGGCTTTCCTGACCCCATTCACTGAATGCTTAAGACTGTCCCTCTATTCCTCCTGGGTCACCCATCCCTGCTGCACCTCTTTCATGCTTTCACTTTATGTTTTTGTTGGTTTGTTCATTAATGTAGGCTTCCCACTACATTTTTTCCCCTGTAAGTCAGAATAGACTATTAAAGGAAGAAAAAAACAACAAAACCCAATCACAACACCCCCCCTCAAAAAAAAAAAACACCACACCAAAAAAACCCAAACAAACCCCCCCCACCACAAAAAAACCCACCAAACATCTATCCTGGACATCTGCTCTCTTAAGGGCCATATCCTATGGGATTCTCTCAAGCAGGTCTCTGAACAGGACAGAGTCCACCCTCCTGAAGACCAAGGTCATGAGTCAACCTAGCTTAGGTTCTGAGTCACAGACCAGCAAAATGGGGAAAAAAAATAAAATGGAGAACTTTGACATAGCCTAAGACAGCCCACATATGTGTCCAAATAAGATAATTCAGAAGACTCAAAAATAAATGTAGTTACCACACCAAGACATAATAAGGATAGTCCGGCTTATTAATATAATTTCATTTCAATTATATCAGTCAGAGAGTAACTTCCAGCCTTAATTTTTAAGGCAGCATCTCCTAACTATTATGCAGGCCTCCTTAGAGGTGACCTCCATTTCTCCTGGAATACACTTAAGTGCAGACAGGAGTCAATAAGGCATTGCACATAGTACAGACTCATTTAGGACAGGATCATGTAAGACACAGTGCCCTGAACCTGTAAACAAGAAGTGGAACAGTTATCTTTGGAATAAAAATTCTCATTACTGAGAATCATGTGCTGAGGTTTGCACTTGTTTCTTGAAAAGAATATAGATGTATTGGAGGTTCTCAGGCTCTTTTTTTTTTTTTTTTCCTTAACTTCTCATCTACGGTTTAAAAGAAGCAGAATGTTTTCCTTCTAAAAGATTTGGTGGAAGGTAAACCCTGAACCTCTTAAGAGGGAAAAAAAAGCATTGCCTCAAAGGAATGAGGCTGTCTCATATAATTTAAAATAGGAAAAGAAAGTCCCTGGGATTTACTATTGTCAGCCATTCTGCATTGTTGAAGCAAGGGAAGAGAGATGGAGTCATTGTCAACCCTACTACACAAGGCTTTGAACATGAGGTTCAACTAGTTTGTGTACCAAACACTGAACCAGTCTACAAACAATAGACAATTGTTGTGTCTGTTTAGGATAAGGACACAAGATGAGACACTTACTGTATCAAGCATCTCTTTGGTATGAGCTGCAGACAAACAGAATCTGGCTCTGGACTCGATGATGGGGGTGGCAGGGAAGCCCACAACCACAACACCGATGTTCCGCTTCAGCATCTCACGCCCAAACGCACTGCCAGAGGGAACAAGAAAGATCTTCAGAATAATAGTGGAGGCAAAGAAAAAGCACCACCATGAAAGTCTCAGTATGTTAACCCACACAGGCCTTTGTTGAAACAAGCCTGTAAGAACACAATTTGGAGCTTGCAATGCTTTCTTTTAGAGGCAGAACATCTGTTCACAATAGCCTTTTTTTAATTCAGTCCCAAGGAGGTCCTCCACAAAAGGTTTCACTGTATTAAGTCCTAACAAAGCTGTAAGATTGTATGTAGCAGAGGCTGGTCTTTCAGCAGACTGTTTCTAAATGGATTTGTAACCTAAGCTTGAAAAATCTTTCTGATCAGAAGTTTTTTGGCTCAGAAGTTTGACTGTACAAGGAATCTCCCATACTGCAACCCCCATAAGAAGATGCTTCTGCAGTTTCAAGATGCTTTTGTCTTCATCAACTTAATCCCATTAAAATGCTTTATGGTGTCACAGACTGTACCACTTTATAAGTGCCTATTATGGGAACTACTGAATTGCCAGAATAAATGGAGATAATCTAATCTGATACCAAACATTTCTAAGGAAAATGCAAAAACCTCATACAACTGTCAACAGTGTCTTCAACAAAACCAATTCTTATGTGTATTAAAGAAATTAGCAACTGTGACTTATGGATTGAGAGGGACAATCTAGATCAGATACAGATTTCTTCTGTAATGGCAGTGCAATTATGAGTGTTTCTACAAGGCATATGAAATGGTTAATCCTTTTTCAGCTGACTTTGTCTTAAAATGTAGCAATGAACTTAAGAGACTTAAAAGGATGTATAAAAATATCATCCTTTTATCAACTTTTAAAATTTCCTGCCTCTTACATCTGCTACAGTAATTTTCCTGGTAAATAGTTGCATCACTTCATTTTCTATCAGTTTAGAACTCACAAACTATTTTAAAAGCAGACTACAAGATATAGGTCCTAAGGACCAAATCTCATCAGAGCTATGTGTTCTTGCTTGTTTTAAAGTTACTGGCCCAACTGCTCACCTCATAAACATTTCCATGAACAATTGCATGGATAAGACTGTACTGACTGGTAGAGAAGCTGGGCATTAAAAACAGTATGCCTCTGTGTGCTGGATGGTGCACACTGTAGACTCTACAGCTCCCGTGAAGGTTATAGGCCTTTAAAATTTGGTAATACTGAGAAGGGTGGAGGAAGACTGTATCTAGTTTCATACAGAGTGCTAGGAGATGTTTGTTTCCTCACAGAACCACAGTGCTTAGCCAGACTGAAGCCGCACTGAGCCAGAAAAGCATTATGGATGTTCAGTACAGCTTAAAATGAAGCTATGCTTTCCAAATTTGAAAGTGTTCGTTGAGCACTGCATCATGCACAGTCACTGTAAAGCAGTTATCAAAGCTAAGTTGTCCTTGAACAAGGCTTTTGTTTATGTTACAGGTTTTTTTAATATATATATTATATCCTGCTTGCAGAATTTTAGCCTTAATTATCCACATAGCAGCCCACAAGTCCATAAGCGTTTATAAAACTGCATGTTACAGTTCTGTTAGTATTTACAATAACAACACCCAAGCTATAAAATACAGACCTCTTAAAAATCTGGGATTCATCAAATACAGGTTGTTGTGTCCCATCATGTCCCATCCCCCCTGCTTTTCTCTTTTTTTATTTGTCAGAGTTCATCTTTGGAAATGTTGTCTGCTTCCAATTCAAAAGCTGGCAGAAAAAGATTCCTCCAGTGACTTTTAATGTTAATTTCCATTCAATTTCAGCTTCTCTTTAGCACACATATACAATATGTATATATGTACATATAAATAAAAGGAAAAAAACAGCCCAACTTTTAAAATATGGCACGTAATGGTAACATTTCCAATTTCCATCATTTATCAGCAGTCTTGGCTGACTGGGGAGGTACCAGCAGACTGGAAATCAGCCAATGTAACCCTCGTATGTAAGAAGGGATGGAAGGATGATCGAAGAAATTACAGGCCTCTTAGTCTAACTTCAGTACCAGACAAGCTGATGGAGCAGATGATCCTGAGTACAGTTACGTGGTACATGCAGAACAACCCGGTCATCAGGCCCAGTCAGCAGGGGTTCATGAAGGGCAGGTCCTGTTTGACTAAGCTCATCTCCTTCTATGACATGGTGACCTGCTTATTGGACGAGGGAAGGCCTGTGGATGTTGTCTACCTTGACTTCAGCAAGGCCTTTGACAAGGTTTCCCACAGCATTCTCTTAGAGAAGCTGGCTGCTCATGACTTGGATATGCAAACACTTTGCTGGATACAAAGTTGGTTGGACAGCCAGGTCCAAAGAGTTGTGTTCAATGGAGATAAATCCAGTTGGGCCCGGTCATGAGTGGTGTCCCCAGGGCTGAGTGCTGGGGCCACTCCTGTTTAACATCTTTATCAATGATCTGGATGACGGGATAGAGTGAACCCTCAATAAGTTTGCAGATCACACTAAGCTGAGTGGGAGTATCGATCTGCTTGAGGGCAGGGAGGCTCTGCAGAGGGATCTGGACAGCCTAGATCAATGGGCCAAGGCCAATGGCATGAGTTTCAATAAGGCCAAATGTCACATCCTGCCCTTTGGCCACAACAACCCCCAGCAGTGCTACAGGCTTGGGAGGAGTGGCTGGAGAGCTGCCCAGCAGGGAGGGACCTGGGGGTGTTGGTTTACAGCCAGCATGAGCCAGCAGTGTGCCCAGGTGGCCAAGAGGCCAACACCATCCTGGCCTGCATCAGGAATAGTGTGACCAGCAGGACCAAGGAGGTGATCCTGCCCCTGTATTCAACCTTGGTGAGGCCACATATTGAGCACTGTGTGCAGTGTTGGGCACCACAGTACAGGAAGGACATTGAGGTACTGGAGAGGGTGTAGATAAGGGAAACTAGGCTGATCAGGGGTCTGGAGAACAGATCTTACAAGGAGAGGCTGAGGGAGCTGGGGCTCTTCAGCCTGGAGAATAGGAGGCTGAGGGGAGACCTCACTGCTCTCTTCAACTACCTGAAAGGAGGCTGTAGTGAAGCATGTGTTGGTCTCTTCTCCCTGGTGACTAGAGACAGGACAAGAAGAAATGGGGTCAAGTTGCACCAGGGGAGGTTCAGGCTGGAAATCAGGAAAAGTTTCTTCACAGAAAGAGTGGTGAGGCATTGGAACAGGCTGCCTAGGGTGGTGATGGTGGAGGCACCATCCCTGGAGGTGTTAAAAAAAATGGGATTTCCAGGAGATGGTTTAGTGTTTAGGGGTTGCAGGGCAGACAGCTGGGCTTGATGATCTTGAAGGTCTTTTCCAACCTTGATGATTCTGTGATTTTAAGAAAATTGCTTCCCTGAAGTGCTTTCTTGCTGCTCCAAGCTATAAGCCTGAATTTTCTCATGATCACATATGAGAAGGTACCATGTTTTGTAAGACTCATTAATGATCATAAAATCAAAAATCAAATCAGTCCTTTCTTATATTTGGAAAAGTCTTAATATTCTTGCACTATCCTAGCTTTAAAGAAAAATGGATTAAAAGTTACCCTGTTAAACCTACCCAATTTTTGCTGGCATATACAGCATCAGAGGCACAATAGGGGAATCTTCATTTCCATAGATGATAAAGCCCATCTTTTTCAGTCGTCTCCTGAAATATCTTGTGTTCTCTGCTAGCTGCTGCACACGTGCTTTCCCTAGAAAAAAAAAGATTAAGACAAGACTGTGAACATAAGTTGTAAGTCACACGTGTAACTGCAACACAAGACCTCTAGCTAAAGTACAAACTGTGAATGTACTGCTTATCTTTATGGAATTACTAAAATTAAATGCAAACTAGTATTTGCAGTTTTTTCTCCCTCATGTAATCAAGATTAATCACTCATTATCTGACAAGGCTGTAGCTGAATGGACTAAGACAGGCACAACCATCAAGTCCAAAGCACTCCCTAGTCTTTCAGTATCAGTTTTTTAACCAAGGGGTACCTCGCAAAACCAGGTAGTTACCTGCTTTTAAGCAATATTCAAAAATTGCTCAAAATTCATTAGTAACTGCATCCTGAAGAAGAGTTTGCTTACTCTTTGACTGATTAACAGAAACTTACTGAATCAGCTGGGGCTGTTTGCTTTGTTTTATTCTGCTTGTCTGTATTAATGGAAATTACTACTTTTCTCCTTAGATTTGCCTGTTGAACCGATCATGTGGCTGCTCCCTAACTTTTTCAGTTAAAATAAGCTGGGTTTAAATTAAACCGATTACTCCTGATAATCCAGCTCAATTCACATTAGCAGCAGCTGCCAATTTATTATGTATTCAGCCAATTTTTTATGGATTTTTTTTGACATTTGTCAAAATTAGCACACAGGTCAGTACACAGCTAGTGTAATTTAAATATTCCTG